CTAGTTCTTTCCTCTATTTCCTTTCCTCTTGTCCCACTATCATGTTTGGCCTTCATTCGGGTTTCAGTAATTTCTTTCAGTTACATTGCCCTTTATCAAGCTCTACAAGGCATCCTACCCCCTCCTCACTGTCGATTTTACATCACTTGTTGTTCCCTTGTCCCTAGGTTTGTTAACACCCACTTCCTTTCCCCCTCCTTCCCCTCTTCCGTGCCCCCCTCCTGCTCCCAACCATCTGTCCCATTGTTTTCTCCCCTGGATTGTCTAGCCCACCTATCTTATCTAGATAGGCATGTAGAGACAATAGTAAGCACAAAACAAGGCAAAAGAAAACAAAACAACAACAACAATAAAAATGACCCAAAAAAAGAATGAAAAGCCTATAAATAGTTGCAGGTCTGTTTGTTGACCTTTAGGAGTGTTTTCCGGTAAAGTATGCTGGGGTGTGATGCCCTGGCCTCAGAGTCTATTTTTGGTATTCCCCATGGACTTCATTACTTTGCTCCCCTTGCTGCTCTGTTGCACACCTTTAGCATTTGGCCCCACTGTGGTGGGATCAGATTGGACACAATCCCTGCACTGTGCCTCCAATGTTGTCCCTCGTAGTGCTATGGGTCATGGTGGAGCCGGTCCTATGGTCCTCTCTGTGCACTGGCTGCTCTGAGCAGGAATATTGTCCTTGGGCTTGGTGGGCCTGGATGTGGTCCACTCTCTCTCCTTCCCTCTTCGTTTGCTCCTGGGTGCTCTGATCAGACGTGCCCCTCTCTCTGAGCTGTGCTTCAGTGCTGGCCTCCATAGTACATTCTTCTGGGAGGGAAGGGGGAAGCGGTGTCCATGTAGTTGGGATTAGGGCTGGCCCCTCAGACCTCTATTGGTTGCCTTCACGACTTGGTGCACTGGTTGAAGTCTGGTCCCTCTCTCCCTCTCCTGTAGGTAGCATGTATTTTCTTACAATCTTAATTCACTGAAGGATTAGTTTGATGTGAGAGGTGAGGACATGAATGGCCGTTCTTTTTTTTTTCTTAAAGGGTCAGAAATTATCC